AAAGCTTCAAACCTTTTGATATAGTCTTTGACCAACTCCTTTTTGGGCTGGAATGATTCAAATTTGTCAACAATGTTGTCAAAAAATACTGCAAACGTGTTTACAATTAACTACACATCACATTAGTGCAGAATATAAATTTTAATCGATGTGAGGCCTACTACAAAAGTCTTCAAATGCAGATATGCAAAAGTGCCTAGGGCCTACGACTACCTTAAAACTGCCCTGAGTTACGGTAGTTTACACAAGACTCGATCCTATTTTGATTGTCTGATTTCATTCAAATGAACTTAGGATAAATGAAAAAAACTAATAATGTATGTTGATGTTTTTGTAGAAGAATGCCCCGAATTTGAAAACCAAACTTGTCCAGTTTTCTGCCCCTACGGCCGTAAGCTCATTAAGGGTTACTGCCCAACCTGTGAATGCATTGAAGAGTCTCCGTGCACAGTGAGTAGTTGTGAGAAAAGAATGGGAGGATAGGGAGATGATGACGGAATGATGGGGAGGTGATGATGGGACCCTGACACAATAGTGTGGCCCTGGCGCTATGGTTTGATAATGACGCATTGGTGTGACGATGACGTAATGATTGAACGATGGCCAATGATGTGACGATGGCGTAATGATGGAAGTAATAATACCGCGACTATTACTACCACTATCGCTACTGCCACTACCACTACTACTACCATTTCTACTACTACCACCACTACTACTTCTACTACTATTACTACACACATACACATACGCAGACGCTAACCCTAACGCAAAAACGGACAGACAAACGCACGTACACGCACACGCGCACACACCCATCCCCATTTACACACACACACACACACACTTACGCAGAGTGAGAGTTTAAAGTGTGGGGAGGATGAGGTGTGTCAAATCTCGTATAGGAAGAATTACGGGCTTGTGGAATGCGTTCCGAAAGTACGTCGTTCATGTTCTTGACTTTGGAAATATTGATAAAATCTACCGAATTTTTAGCGTCTGAAGTATTACGATTGAACTTTTCAATTTTTTAACAACAATTTTAAAATTATTATCCAATTTATTAAAATTAATGAAAAAATCATTGCCATTTGTAGTGAAGGGTATAGGCCCTATTCCGATTTTACTCATAATCAGCGCTTATATAGGGATATTTCAAAATTTTAATACTTAACGATCATTTAATTATATTACGGTAATAACGGATTATCTCCAATTATGGATTTAAAATCAGATGAATGATTTGTAAGAAAATTATTAATTGATGTTTCTGTGTGACACACACAAACAAGCACACACAAACGCATAAAAAACACACATGAACACCTATTGACGCTAACACTATCAAGTCAATGTTTATCCATGTTTGTTAGGAGTGGTTGTAGCTTTCTTTTTGTCCGAGTATCTGATGCTTGACTGAATGTTTGAATCATTTTTTTTATATCCATTCCAGATTCAACAAAATTAGGAGGAGGGACACTGAGAAGACCTTCAAAATATTTATACATACATATACTAACATACATGAATGTATGAAAAACATTTCGAACTAACATTTTGCTGCAAAAGAATTTTACAGACGAGTAAATAATAATATCTCTTGAAAAAGACAAAAACAATTTGTTTTAAATTTGATTAATATTTTGTTAAAAACGTTTCAAAGTTTTTCAAACGCTTCCTACTGTCTCTTGCTGTGGCCATCCATTAACAATTCTTCAATGGAGAGTCCGGAAAATATTACACTAAAAATGGCAAAAATATTCCCGCACATCACCTACGGAAACCTGTATTATCCTATTATATAATATCGGTGTTGCAACACGTTTCATATAACATTCACATTTAACTTGTACGAATGTGTAGATCGCATTATAAAAAACACGCTAAGATGGTATGGGAGGAATCGAGACATTTCCATCTCGATTAACGCGATTAACGAACGAGTTTTTGAATCTTGAAATTAAAATTAAGTAACTAGATTTGGCAGCATGATGGATTATTGGATGAGATCAATAATCCATCATGCTGCTATTAAACTATAAATTTATATTTAATACCCTGCAAAATGTCTGTCGTTAATTATGTTCTGAAACACATTTTCACAAAGAACTTTCTAGAAATACTGACGGATATATCTTCAGGAATTTTACCTCTGTTATAAACCTCATTCACAATTTTATATATTTATTATACTTTATTTACTAAAAAATATATAAGTTAACATTAATTTTTCATAAATGCTAAGAAGAGAAGTGGTGGCTATTAAAATTCTTCTTGGCCAAAATATATGGTACTCCAGAGAGCTGTGTAAACATGACAAAACTGAATGTAGGCGTGTGTGCGTGCGTGCGTGCGTGCGTGCGTGCGCGCGTGTATGTTATTGTTCGCGTTTAATATTTTTTCATCTTAATGAAATTCTAGATTGATATATGCGTTTTGATATGTTATTGTTCGCGTTTAATATTTTTTCATCATAATGAAATTCTAGATTGATAGATGCGTTTTGATTTTAATATAGATATAGATAGAAAGATAGATAGATACAACTTTTCTTTCTACCAAATCAGAATTATTAAAAACAATAAAAAGAAATTAAATGCATCAGATCAGAGTAAAGAACTCTAGAAATTACTCAGACGACAAAATCTATTATATTACTGATTTCAATTATATAGGCAGCTGGTTTCAATGCAATGGTGCAACAAGGCACAAATTTCTGGCACCATAAAGATCCTTTATTGTCGAATTTCTTATATTGGAACAATTAGGACAATCGCTTCGAATATCTGGTTTCCTGGTTGAATAATAAAACGTCTTTTATTTGATATTCACAATTTCATTGTATATTCACAGTGCCATTTTTTATTTTAAATATTAGTTGGCGTGTTACGACTGCTTTTATTTCATATACTGAAAAACTTTTATCATCTTTAAACAGAACGTCTTAGAATGTTTTAGTTAAATTCGCTGCACTGACAAACGTTCAATTATTATCAATTTTTGTTTTACAAATTTTTATTCAAAAATTTACCATGTTAAATGGCTTGGTTAAATAAATTTTGCAAAGATTTAATGGCTCCAATGTTTTACTCATATTTCACATGCCATTTTAATATTAAGTAATATTTTTATTTTTTTATGACTCAGATGAAATTGATTTTCTCAAGTGAGTTAAACAAATTTTTTATTATACGCAAGTGTAAATTACAGTCTTGCGTCAAAGTTTTTTCCAGCTAGCACGGAGCGGATTAGCCACTGTTCAGATGGAACGCTACTGTTTGCAGACTGTTGAGAGAGCTGGAGATCTGTGCAAACAAGATGACTAATAGATAAACCCCACCCTTAGGCTGTTTCCTATATTTTCTTTATCACTACTGATATTATTATTATTACTGTTATTGTTATTATTTTATAAATTTTATAAATTATTTACATTTATTTATTTGCACTCTTATATATTATTAATAATTTTCGATTGATTTCATTTTAATTTTATCTCTTTAGTCAATAAAAGATTGTCCCCATTGTTATTATTATCAATGTTGCTTTTTTTTATTATTATTGTTGTGAATGTTTATAATAATTTTAATAATAATACAATGAAAAAAAAACAATAATAATAATAATAATGTCATTTAATAAAAAGCCAACAACAGGAAACTTCAAAATCAGTATGATTACAATTTATAACACACCTGTGTCTGTCACGAACGATTGAGTGGGTGAATGTGCATGATGTGTTGGCGGGTAGAAAACATGAGATAAACAAACATGAACACAAAATAAACAACGAAAAAATATGAATCAGACACACATAAGCACACACACACACACACAATACACCCACATACCCACATACATAAACACGCACGCACGCACGTACGCACACACACACACATATATATACATATACGAATACATATACATATACAAACATAACCCAGCAGGGTTTAAAGCGTTAACAATTAGCCTATAACGGGGCTCAGCAGACTAATGTCTGTATGGGAACCACTGACAAGTAATTGTCTCAGTATCCTACCTCACAAAGCTTTATCTTTAAAATGACTGTTGGTGGATCTTAATGATAATAATAATGGAGTGTCTGAAAGTGGTAAAACTCTTGTCAATCTTTTAGCCAAGGTCTGAAAAGATCGATTTGAAGTCAGAACGATGTCGTAAACATTTCTCATGATGTTGTACAATACTTTCCAAGCATCTTTTAAAATAAATATTTTGTTTAAACTTGTCGATTTGAATAATTTATTTGCTTCTGAGTTAACACTAGGTTTGAAGTTTAATTTTTGATTTAGAATTTTATCAAAACAAAGTCGTTCTATTAATGAAGACTCTAATATTTAAAACTGAAGTGATAATCATTTGTTTCAGGAGCAATTTTTTTTAAATGAGGGTCTGAGTTCAGTACATTGTGAAGGACCCGCTTAGGGCCCATTCCGGCCCTGCAACACAATTACTCAACAATTATGCATGTTATATAATGTACATATAAATATAAACAAATAAACATGTATAAAATGTATATGTATGTACATATACAGTAATTAATGAAATCTACAAAATTTCTAGCGTTGGATAGTTTTTTATTACATTTCTCAATATACATATACATGTACAAATATGTATAAATGTATATATATATATACACATATATAATATGTATACATTGATGCATGTACTGTACATATACGTATATATGTATTCTAAATTTTTGGTATTTCATAGAAAGCTGCGATAAATAGATAAGTCTTAACAAACAAAATGCTAGCATTTGTGGAATTATTTGGATGAATGATACCTTTATCGCGACAGCAGCATCGTCAACACAACATAAACAATCAATCATGCAGTCACTCAATCAATAAATCATTTATTCATTCATTTCATTCATTTCATTCATTTATTCATTCATTTATTCATTCATTTCATTTATTTATTCAGTAATAGGCCGAAAAACGTTATCAATGAAGGAAAAATTTATCAAAATGAAGAAAATTCATCCTCCCCCAGCTTACACTTCTAATAACTTTGAAGTATCAGTTGAAGATCAACAAGCACTACAACAACCTTACCCAGATGAGCAGCAATCTCATCCTCAACCGTCTCAAAAAAAATGTCCTCAAGAACCACAAATCTGCTCTCAACCGAAACAAGTTAAGACATCATGTATTTACACAGTCGAAAACAAACCAGACGAAGGCGGTCCTGAAAATGTGAAAGTGGTTCAGATTGACCAGCCTGACGGTGACGTAATCACCGACGATCAAGCTAAAGTTGATTTTAGGAGAACACTCTTCGCCCGATTCAGTATCTGCAGTTCCTGTGGTTCGGTTTGCCTACTTATCGTCAACATTCTTACAAGTAAATATCTATTTGTTGATTTGTTTTGTGTCGGCAGTAGGGTTGATTTGATTAGTGGTTTGATTTTTCTTAGAAACAATATATTGATGAGGATAATAAAATAATTTAATTGTAATCTACCAATTAATCAGCTGCATTGATCAACTAACCAGCCAACCAACCAACCACCAATCTACCAATCAGCCAACTACAAAATTGAGAAACAAATAAATCAATTGTTTAATCATTGTCTGTGTTTCTTTGAATAAACTGAAGGATAAATCAATCACTTTCGCAATCAGCTAATACATATTAATAAATTAATCAATCGATCGATCAATCATTCATTCATTCATTCATTCATTCATTCAACAAATCATTCAGTAGTCTGCCGATCAAATGAAGATGCAAAGTCAGCTGAAGCTTGCGTCATGGCGTCATTCATCTTCTTCAATTTTAATCTCTTTTTTTTGATCATCGCCATCATTACCCTAATTAGACTCAAGAAAGCATCCAGTTTATAAATGTACCTCCCTCGGTGTATTTTTTATATTTAATTCATTAATATTTTACGACATTAAATCGATGTATTAATTTATGAGTTGGTGTGTGTTGAAGACTGCGTTACTGTTTTATTGAGTGTCCTATGCTTTCAATTTGCCTCATACCCTCTATCTAAAATTTCTAAAGTTGACATAAGATTGACCTACATTTAAAATATAAAAAATTTAGTTTAGAAGTTAGACTATAAAGTAAGATAATATGCGATGGTATATTATCTTACCAGCTGCTGGGATAAAATAGAGAAATACGAAATGTTATATTTGTCGCTGTCACCTTGACCTTTCAGCTCTGCCTCTCCGCTAACAACCATCATGATTCATATATTTTTAATTGGCGGCTATCGAACTCTTTACTGCACTTCCACAGGTAAACTAAGATTTAGAAGTATCGGCAGTTATCCACAAACAGGATACATGAATGAATTCGCGCAAAATGACCCCTTACATTTCGTGATAGGCGGAAATCTCTTTTCGCATTCAAACTCGGTTACCGGCCAGGGCCAGGGGCGCCTTTCTGACCGTTGCACTATCATTCCGTCTAAAAAACACAATTTATTTAACTTATTTCAGTTTTAATTTGAAGTTCAAGATGGCAACCGGGATGGTATATTTATTTCAATCGCCATGTATTTTCTTTTTATGGTGTTTTTATTATTTTTAAAATGTTTTAATTAAAAATTTTAATTTAAACCAGCATTGTAAATTTAAAATTTTCAATTTGAAATTTTACTAAAAAAGAGACTTTAAATAACCTTAAATTCAAGATTTGAAATAAAACACCATCATCTTCTAGTCGGTGAGATTTTTCAGAAATCTCTAGCGAGTATCTTTTAGCCAATTCTGGCGAACATTTCATAATGAATCCAAGAGAACACAATGCGCGAACTTCGCTGAACAGAAGCAAAAGTAAAATAAAATAAAAATAAATTTAAACAAAATAAACTGTAATGCATCTTGTTATGAGCGAAAAATAACCAAAATAAAAAATGACATCACAACGCCAACAAAATAATTCTATTCAAGAAAATCACAAAAGTTATTCGATTACCAAAGAAAAATTTCAAAATAGAAATTTGATGTCTATCTTGGATTTGTGTCTTTTGTGGTTCCGATTTCTGCGAATTCGTTTAAAAATTAAATTCGTTTAATAAAATATTAAAAGAAGATTGTTTTATAAATCGGAAAAAAGAAAATATCATAGAAAAAAGTTATTAACAAGATGAGAAGTGGCTATCAAAGTTCTTGTTGGCCAAAATATATGGGGCTCTAACGAGCTATGTAAACATAACAGAAGTGAATGTAGGCGTGTGTGTGTGTTTGTGTGTGTGTGTGAGTATGTGTGTGCATCCAATGTTTTATTTATAATTCACAAGCCATTTAAAAATTAAGAAGTTGAAATTTTTTTATAACTCACATGAAAAAGAATTTTGCAAGCGAGTCAAATGCATCCAATGTTTTATTTATAATTCACAAGCCATTTAAAAATTAAGAAGTTGAAATTTTTTTATAACTCACATGAAAAAAAATTGTGCAAGCGAGTCAAAAAAAATTATTAACATCATACGCACGTGAAATTAATTTTGCGTCGAAATTTTGCTCGTCTTCTGCCCGTCCTGGTAACGAGCAGACTGTTCAGATGGAACGCTACTGTTTGCAGACTGTTGAGAGAGCTGGAGATCTGAATAAACAAAGTGACTAATAGATAAATCCCACCCTTCGGTTGTTTCCAGTATTTTATTTATTATCATTATTGTTATTACTGTTACTGTTGTTGTTGTTACAGTGTAACGTTTGCGTGTAAGTATTTGGACGTTTCCAGCATTTTCTTACGTCATCACCATCCCGCAATGATGAATGTTGGTATAATGACATGAAACCTCAAAATCAGCCATAGTATGGCTACAATTTATAACACTTGTGCTCTCATGAATATGTGAATGGGTGAATGAAGCTAAATGAACATCGAAAAAATATATACAACACACACATATTTACACCCATACACACACATAGTCACGAATATTTATATGATATTTATATATATATATATATATATATATATAGAGAGAGAGAGAGAGAGAGAGGGAGAGAGAGAGAGAAAGAGAGTGAGAGAGTGAGAGAGAGACCAACATTCATGCACATGTATGCACACACACGCTAACACACTCACCACAGGAAGAGAAAGAGAGGGTGAGAGAAAGAAGGAGAGGCGTGTAATCATGAACACTCACACATTCCATTCATGGAAGGGTACACTACACATTCGTAGATACATAAAAATAAATTGCTGACATTTGATGAATTTTTTTCTACAATAAACGCCTACGTAAGCAAACGAGCAAATAAATCAATCCACTTTTCGTAGTTCTATGCAGTTTAATTGAAAAATACTAATGTAGCTAAAATGATAGTTTAACTTTAATATTTCAATTGGCAACTGAATACTTCAACTAAAATATATTGGGTACCTAGCTCTTTTTGCCAGACACACTTTTGGTTTTTAACAATGAATTTTAAACTGAAGCTTGCAATACAATTGACGTTTTTCATATTTTTAAAGTCATTTACTAAGGTTGCACCGGATCTTTGCTCCGACTCCGACCGAATATCCTTCATTTTTTAACTATCTGGCTAAATGTTTGTTTGAATGTGTTCGTTTGTATATAATAATATTCAATGATATCAATGATTAAAACTAAAAAATTTAGAAAACTATTCCAGAAAGCAAAAAATCGCATTTAAAAGAGATTTAATTCTTTAAGGAGATATTATTATTTTTCAAAACGGCAAACCTTGAAAAAAATTTTTTTTCGGAAGCAGTGCCATGTTCACTAATCACTCCACCAGCTACACCGAACAAGCGTTGAATGCTCAAATTTTGTTTAATTTCATTTAATTTCGTTTCATTCCAGAAGAAGTTTAGATGAAAATGTTGAAACAGAAATCTATGATTACAAGCCAAGCATCTATAATTAAAACGACCTATCCGAAACAACAAACGTTAACATGTCTGGCTGTTTTAACTGATTTGCGCTCCATCATGCCTAGCAATAATAAAAGTTGTAGGCGATAAAAAATTGTATTTCCAGAAGTTTGACTTTATAAAGTTCCGTGCACTGGACGTACACGCCACGCTTCCAGGTAGTAGAAGAAGTAAAACAAACAAATTTAAAAATTTTGTAAACAAATAAGTAATTTAAGATATTTAAAAGACATCTAGCTAGGATATCTTTCTCAACTATCCTAAACTGTGTTATTGAAAAACCGAATTTCATGAACTTAACTGTTAGAAAAGAGTGAAATTGTTGACTTTGTTTTCAGCTCAAATTTACTTTAAGAGTTGTTTTAATGTGATGACTAATGAGAACGGCTTTAATGGCGGGTTATGTTGCGGCGTTAATGTCGTTTCAAATTCTGTCTGTCAAGATATAGATACAAAAATAGTCACAAAATGGTTTGGCAAAGTTTAACCACTTTTCGGTTTTGTTGACTGTTTTCAAATATAAGTTTATAAATATTAGTTAAACAATTGATTCTTAGTTGAAAATTAGTTATAGTTTAACAACAAATATTTATTTATGAAGTGATAATCATTTGTTTCAGCAGCAATTTATTTTTAAAATGAGGGCCCGTGTTCGGTACATCGTGATGTCAAGGGTCCGCTTAGGGCCTATTACGGCCTTGCATACACATGTATTTATACACATCAAAAATACTCAACACGTGCATGTTATATAACTTACATATAAATGTATATATATATATATATATATATATATTATATATGTATAGATGTATGCTACATTTTTAGTATTTTATTGAAAGTGGCGATAAATAAATATGTCTTAGCAGACAGGTCGCTAGCATTTGTGGGATTATTTGGAAGAAAATTACCATCATCGCAACAGCAGTAGCATCGTCAACACAACGACCTGGTCATTAAAAAGCCATCTACATCAACTAATCAATGGAAACCAGATCCACCAAAATGAAGTATAATCACCCTCCTCCAGTTTATACTGCTAATGACGTTGAAGAATGTTTGGAAGTTGAACCATCAACACTCTACTCAGATGAACGGCAATCCCACCTTCAACCGCCACTAAAAGATTTTCCTCAAGAACCCAAACCTGCTAAGAAGACATACATTTACACTGTCGGAAAGAAACTGGAAAGCGGTTCTGAAAATATGAAAGTGATCCAGATTGACGAGCCTGGCGATGTCGTGATCGTCGGCAACGAAGATCGGGTTGATTTTACCGGAGCCATCGTATACTCGTGTATTGTCATCTTTTGCTTTGGCTGGATTTGCGGACTGATTGCCTTCATTCTTGCAAGTAAGATGAGTTGGTGGGTCGCTAGAACGTACGTTATGTTTGTTTTCTTTAGTCATTAGTTAAATGATCATGATATGATGTTCTAGAAAATGATATTTTGATGTAGATAATAAACGATTAAGCTGAATATTTAATTGTAATCTATCGATTAATCAACTCCATTAATCAACAAAGCAACCAACTATCCACTCAACCAACAATTCCAACCCACCAATCAACCAACCGACCAACCAACTAACCGACCGACAAATTAACCATCCAACCATCCATCCATTTAACCAACCGACCAACCAACCGACCGATTGACCGACCAACTAACCAACCACAAAACTGAAAAACAAATAAACCAATTGATTAATCATTGTTTATGCTTGTTTGCATTAACTGAAGTATAAATCAATAAGCTAATACATATTAAAAAGTCAATCAATCAATCAATCTATATATCAATCAATCAATCAATCAATCAATCAATCAATCAATCAATCAATCAATCAATCAATCAATCAATCAATCAATCAATCAATCAATCAATCAATCAATCAATCAATCAATCAATCAATCAATCAATCAATCAATCAATCAATCAGTCAGTCAGTCAGTCAATCAATCAATCAATCATTCATTCATTCAATCATTCAATCATTCATTCATTCATTCATTCAGTGATCGGTCGATCAAGTGGAAACGTAAAGTCAGCTAAATCCTATCGCAGAGCGTCCTACATTAACTCCTCCATAGGCCTGACCATTGGAATCATAGTCATTGTGACCCTCCTGGCTATGAGATCGGATAACAAATAACAACAGTAAGATAGCGATGATGGTACATTTTATAGATGCCATTAATAGAACAATATTTAAATGTTTATTTTGAAATTCACTGACATCAAACCTTGAGGATTAGGAGGTATAATTATATATTGCGCGTTTCAGAGAGTTATTTTTCCAGTATCCTTTTTTTAAAAAACAAAACAACAGAACTTTAGACTGGAATTGCTTTATCGTGTCTTGCCATTGTACTCTGTATGGGGCGGGAGAATGGCTTTGAAATTAATTTTCATTTCAATTCTCACCTGGTCATGGTTGGACATCGGATATGGATAGATAGGTATGCCTATAAACACTTTCCGGTCAGCCTTCAAGTTCAATTCCAATATTGGAAATCTATTCTTAGTTCTTTTAAAAAATCAGAATCTTTCTTATAGCCAAATACAGCTATCTGTTTTTAAAATTATGTAATGTGTTAGCGATTGAACGTATTTTTAAACGCTGAAATATTTGACGGAAAAGAGTAATTGAGTTATTCGTAGGACGAGACAGAGGCGTAGCCAGGGTGTTTTGTGCCTCTCTTCATGTTTAATTACATTTTTTATTACATCAACATAATAAAAATTACCGTTTACAAAAACTATTCAAATTTTAATGGGACATTGTATTTAAAAATAAAACATAAATATACAAATTATAACATATGATTTAGTCACTGTCAAAGATAATTTACTTAGTCTACAATAGATTTGTTTTTCAAGATTTCATTGTCTTAAACTGATCAATTATGTTATTCAAATCTGTCATTTCCAATGTTTCTCTTTCCACACTGAGAAGAGCAAGATCACTGAGACGATCTTGTCCCATTGGTGCACGCAGATACGATGAAATAAGTTTCAATTAGCCGAATGATCGCTCACAACCTGCAATTGAAATTGCTATTGTCAATGAAATTGTAGCGTTGTTACGTGTTGGAAAATGGGAAGTCGAAATTCATCACGTCATTACTTCATATTTTTGATCTGTAACGTTTATTTTGACATTTAAAGTTTTTTTTGGTAAATAAATAATTTTTTCATTTTTTTTTGCTTGTGATAAGATTTTTACTCTTGTTGTGAAAATTTTGTTAGCCTCATTTTGGCGCCCCCTGTACTTGTCGCCCGGGGACATATGTACCCCCCCCCAGCCCCCCTAGCTACGCCTCTGGGACGAGATGTCAATTTTATAATGCTGCTGTTTTAACATTTTAAAATTTTACATTTAATTTTCTTTTGAACTTGGAAAATATTTTCTATTTTGAGTTTTTGTAAATTTATATTAGTTTTTAATATTTGTATGAAAAATTTGATGATTATGACGTGAAGATTCAACACAGCATCCGCTTTATAAATATACCTCGGTGATTTTTTTATTTTTCCATTCTATTCATCATTCCTTATATGTCATTAAATCGATGTTTTAATTGATGAGTTGGTTTGTATTGAAGACTGCGTTACTGTGTTATTGAGTGTCCTACGCTTTCAATTAGCCTCATACCTTCTATCTAAAATTTCTAAAGTTGCCATCAGACTGACGTACAATTAAAATATAAAAAAAAATTAATTTAGAAGTTAGGCTATGAAGTAAGATAATATGCGATGGTATATTATCTTACCAGCTGCTGGGATAAAATAAAGAAATGCGAAATGATATATTTGTCGCTGTCACCTTAACTTTTCAGTTGAAAACCATCATGATTCATATATTTTAAATTTTCAGTTAGCGGCTTTCGATCTGAGCTGGTTTTTGTCACTCGCCTGCACCTGTGCGATCAAAACGAGGAAGGTCTTAAGTAGTAAATTTTCTGCATTCGGAAGAAAAATTCATTCATTAAGTCTAAGAAAAAGTATATCAGTGATTAAATAATGTTGAATTTTGATACAAATAATTTATGAGAGAAATTATAGCAAGAAGTAAAAATAAAATTAAATGAAACTGAACTTGAAAAAGACTTGGGTATTAATGTGTCAAATGATCAGAAATGAAAGGAACATGTCTATTATGCAGTTGGGAAAGAAAACAGAAAACTAAGCATGATTAGAAAGTCTTTTCAGTTTCTAGACGAAAAATCAAGTATGAATTTGCTTTATACATCTCCGGTAAGACCGCACCTGGAGTATGCGGCTACAGTCTGGAATCCATATCTGACAGGAGACATAAAAAAGTTAGAGCAAGTTCAGAAAAGAGCAACCAGAATGTGTAAAGTGAAAAACTTACCATACCGTGACAGATTAAATATGATTGGGTTAACAACGTTAGAAGAAGAAGAACCAGAGGTGATCTTATTCAGATGTACAAATTTGTAAGTGGCACAGATGTAATAAACTGGCACAATTGGAATAACTTATCTCAGGAAGCAATTGATGCAAGAGATTTGAATTTTCTTAAAAACTGTATAGATTCAATTATTTGATGAATAATTCAAAGCTGTTGCAGTCACGTTACTACTGTAACCTGACCCAATGCACACACGTGCATCACAGCATATGGTTATTATTATTATTATTATTACAAGGCTGTAAACATTTTTACGGGAAGTGCTCGAATTAGCTGATACTTAACAGAAAAAAATAATAAAGAAAAAGAGGAAAATTATTAGTATCGGCAGCATTGTCTAGATGGAATTATAAATCTCAAAAAGATAACGTTACAGTAACTAGCATACCCTTTTAACTGAATTGATTTTACTACTATCAGCAGTGCAACAACGTTAGTAACTTTGATTGTTCATCTGATTGAGATGCGATGTACTTCACTCCCAAGAATTTCAAGTGCAAGGCATAAAATTCGGTGAACGAGTTGCTTTCAAGTAAAAGACCTCTAGTTTTTTTAAATTTCTCCTTTAATCCTATTATAAATTTTCTTGTTTCGTTCTTTCTGTTTCACTAGTTCTTGTTTTTCATTTTTTTTTTGTTTTTTTTTCATATAAAAACATGTCACTGTTGGTATTGTTGCGGTTTATTGAATGAATTTTGCAAATTTAAGTTCCGTCTGAAGTGAGGTGGACCAGTTAGTAAATTTAGAAGTTCAAAATGCATCGGCAATTATTCCTCGCAGATTCTTCCAGATTATATTTATGATTAGATAACATTTTTTCATCTATTTTTAGGTTTTGTATGCCGATTTCTTATTTTTGAGACAATTATACATAGACCAGAAAAAATGAAAACACACACACACACACACCTTTAAAAATAAAGTAAAAAAGAGATTTATTAGCTTTTATCAATAATTTAACTCGAAAATACTAGCAAGATTCAATGAACATTCTTACTATTGCAACAACCAATGCGAAAGATTATCGGCCTGTTATCTTGAATTCGTTTTGACGTCTGGTGCAAGTGAAATAATGAGAAGAACAAAATTAACACAAATTTTTCTTGAAAATAATTATTTAATAATTATTAAAAATCAACAAAATGTTTTTTTGCATATGGGATGAGACACAGCGTATAGGTACACTCGCGATAACAGCCAAAAAATAAAAAAAAAACAAAAAAATAAATAAAAATAGCAAACAAGAAAAACAACAATAAATACAAAAACATTTTTCATCATGTACATGCGCTCTCCCAAAGAAAACCTCTGCAACTCACATGCATTAAATCAAATGCAGGATTTTTTTTATATATAAAAAGCGATTGCCAAAAGCAAAAAATTCCCAAATATTAACAGAAAATTTTTTATGACGAAGAAGATGCAATTAATTGATGATATATAACAATGATAAATATATTTATTTATATTATTTTTAGCCCAACTATCTCAATTAAAACCCATCAACTACAATGATTATTGTTATTGCTATTCGTTTCGTTATTAACATTCTTAATATTATTATTTTCAATATTATTGTTATTATTATAACTGAAAGATTTCAAAGTCTGGATTAGCGTGTTGACGTCTGGTTTCTTTAGCAATGCGACGTTGTTGAAGCTGACGTCACTGAACATCGATGATGACGTCATCTCCTTGTGTGTTGATGCTCCTATCGCTATTATCTGTTTTGTGTCAGTTTGTGTGTGCGTGCGTGTGTGCGTGCGTGTGTGTTTGACTTTTTAAAATTGATTGTATTGTGTTGTGTTGTATTGTAATGTGTTGTATTGTGTTGTATTGTAATGTGTTGTATTGTGTTGCATTGTATTGTGTTGAATTGTGTTGTATTGTATTGTGTTGTACTGTGTTGTATTGTATTGTGTTGTATTGTAATGTATTGTATTGTGTTGCATTGTATTGTGTTGTACTGTGTTGTATTGTATTGTGTTGTACTGTGTTGTATTGTATTGTGTACGGCCTTTATCTATTTAATCATCCACCTACTACCTACCCTGCTATGTTCAACGAGCCGACTGCCCTTCAGCACATCAGCTGAGTACCTCACAATAGATGGACTGAAGAAAACTACGTAATCTGGGAGGAGCTAATTACGTCAATCAACTAATTATTAATATTATATACACGAATAAAGATACTAAATGACAGATGAATATTTCACTCATTTGCATATTCATTTATCTACCTACTCATTCATTTACTCGAGGGAGTGAATACACCTTCAACAAACAACTGGCGGTATATAAAAAATGAAATGTAAAGAAAATGTGCTATAATTAGTGATTATTGTAAGCATTGTTAATTTATAAAAAACATATAACGCGGGAGGCACCGTGGTGTAATGATTAAAGTGCCTGGCACAACCCCTGCAGAGACTGGATTCGAATGCAAGGAGACACCCGCCCGCCAATGTTTGTGTGTAATGAACTAGTTCTGCCCTATTTAAAAGAATTGTGTTTGTTGTTGACACCTCTAAGAAATATCTATAACTACACACACGCATACTTATATATAAACATACATAGAGCTAAATAATAGCTAAATAGCTGAAATAGACTAGAAGCTAAGCGCTAATAGCTATGTACAGCTACAAACAAACCAACATACCGGCTTAGCTAGGTAATTACAAAGATTGACATCCAACATGGAGTGCTTACGGCTCCTATAAACAGCCAGCTCAATAAAATGAACAGCTGGGTGATAACAATTTTTTATGTAAATTATTACGAATAAATTATTATAATGAGGTAATAAATATTATACAAACACACACGCACGCACGCACGCACACACACACACACACATAACCTACCTTTACTGTTGAGTTTGTTTGGAAGTATGTCTAATTTTTCTTCAGCTCCGAGAAACAACAAAGGTTTAGAATTTATATTTTCAAGGTAATCTTTGAAAATTTTTTTTATTATATTTTTTTTTATTTAAAGAAAATAAATAATATATTTTAAGATTTTTATCTAAAATTATATATATATATATATATACCAATAGTGATGAACTAGGAGATAATTCTATTTTCAAGAAATTCAACAATTTCCAGAAAATTCTAATAAGGAAAATTGAAAAGACAAACTTTAAACATATCAACGCCAATTTGGTAGAATTCATACAATACTATATATATATATATATATATATATATATATATATATATATATATATATATATATATATATATAACCTTTTATTTTTATATATTTTTAAAAATTGTCAAAGAAAATATACTTAGAACTTAGACATAAATATCTTTTGAGTTTTTTTATACTTTTTTTTATATAAAAAGAACCAGATCACGCTGCCACAAACTTTGAATTCGTGAAAAAAAAATAAAAAAGAGACACAGTCACACACACGCACACACACACACACACACACACACACACACACACACACACACACACACACACACAGACCATTGATGATAATATCTGATAGTGCATCTGCACTACCGGCTTGTTCACCAACTACTGATAAGCCAAGTGATTGTGCTGTTGAGTCAGTTTAATCAATCAATTAATTAATTTTAATTTAATTTTAATGAATTTTTTGATTAAATGGATTTATCAATTATATTATTTGAAATAATTCAATTAATTAAATATATTCTCATAAAAAAAACTAAACAACATATGGTCACATAATTAAAAGTAACAAATGAACACAACAAGATTTAGAGTAAAAAAAATTAATGATTGAAATGTGAATTTAAGCAAATCCACACATTGCATGTGATAGCCAGGGGTGTGCTTGCATTCCAACCCAGTCACTGCAACAACAAGGCCAGGCACCTTAACTACTAGACCACTGTTTAACACTTCACAACAAGGATTGAAATAAGATTACTGAGAACATACCTGCGGCACCTGTCGCTTGCCCAACCACGTAAGTTTTCTTTAATCTCCAAGGTGCCAGATCTGTGTATATGGATTTTAGTAAAAAAAATTTTTTACCAAACAAATTGAATTATGTCAAAGTGATTAAATGGCTGTCAATGTATGTGTTTGGCTATGCTGTGTGTTTGTATGCATGTGTGTGTGTTTGGTTAAGTTGAGTGTGTGTGTGTGTTTGATTGTTTGGGTTAGGCTGGTTGATATGTATGTGTGTGTATGTGTATAACATAAAATTGAATAAAAATGACTTTGTGAATGATTGATAAAACTGAAACTATTTTTGGAACCTGTTTCTAACGACAAATTGTTTTGTGCGATAAGATTTGAGATGGCCTCACAAGAGCGAGGGCTGGTGACAATGAGGTCTGCATACATGTCCGGACATCTCAGAACTTTGATCAGCTTGTCATCATTCATGAATTCAAACTCTAAAGCCGGTATGCAGTCAACAATAAAGTTGCTACTTCTTAATTCCTAGGAAATTAAATTATTCATCACAAAAATGAACATTTAGTTAGCAGGGAGGGGTTGGTTATAAATGGTTTATTAATTTCAATGTAATGATATATGAATGATTTGTTTGAGTAAAAATTTTTGGAGGGATATTTAAAAATGCTGAGTAATAAAATTATTAGAAATAATAAATACTACCATTACTACATTTACTGAGTAATAAAATAATTTAAAAAAATATACTATATTTTTTAACACTAAGTAATACAATAATTTTAAAAATAAATACCATCATTACTACATCTACCATAGATAGCTGATTACTCTCAGATTTCAAAATTTTGTTACTATTAAAACTAATTACTACTTACCAGTACCTAAATTAAATACTATTACTAGTTTTAGTTTAGTAGAGACTAGTCTTTTAGAATAATTAACTTACTACAAACTTTAACATATCGATCGTCCATTGGTCCAACATCACTATTGAAAGATTTTAGCAGAAGAATTCTCACACTTTGACAATCAGACGTGTTCATATTTCATATAAGCCTACCAGCGAGACGAACTTGAAATAAGTGACTGACAATCTGTTTCTAGACATTTATTTCACACTTTTACAATAAACCATGGAATTATATAACTGGAACCCTACCAGCATTTTAACATTGAAAATTTTTTTCAACGGGCAAGTTACCTCTGGAAGCAAGTTCCTAAAAATTAATTATTCATGAGCATTTTGGTTTATTTTTACGTTTACAAGAATGCCGCCGGTGGCACATTAACAGGGAAGAAGCTAAATATAGATTGGAAAACTGAAAAACCCATTGACAATTTGGTGCTAAAAAAGTTTGGTTCCAAGTTTCCTGACCTTGAGAAGAAGGCCAACACTATAAAGCCATTCTTATATTATATATAATTCAATGCAATAAACAGACACCACAGGAATTTACTTTTAAACATAGACAGACGTGTGTTCTCATCTTGAATCAGATGGAGAGATTATATTTCTGTTTGTCTCCAAGTTCAAGTAAGGCCATTTTATCCTATTATTATTATTATTAATTATTATTATATTATTATTAATTTTTAATAATTATTATTATCATTATTCTATGTGTCAATATAAGATTTGCTCTTTATTTTCATTAAAATAAATAATTTATGCTAACAATTTTTTGATATATATATGTATATTTTAAATTTTTTTAACACGTTTAGTTATTTTTAACATATAAAATGTCTTTAAATTCAAATAAGTAACGTATATAACGTAAAAAAAATAACATGTATATCATTGTCACTTAAAATAACTAACATTTATATTGATGAACAATGAATGTGTGTTATTAACCGCGAAAATTATTATTTATAGTTTAATTGTACGTTTTCTCAATGAAAATTCTGTTATTTAGTTGAAAAAAAAACACAAAAATCATTCGATTCGACAACAAAACGTAAAATATCTGTTACATAAAGTAACGAAATTCTCTGCTGAAACGTGCCTGTATCTGGAATACGTTGTTTATAAACCTCAAAGTTTATAACAAGTGCCTCTAGGTATATAGACATATATATTTATAAAAATAATAGATTATTAAATAATATATAAATATTTAACATATATATAATAATATGAATATCTATAATAATATATATATTATATATGTGTATGGTGTGGAGAAGAATTTGGGTTTTTGGTTGGATACAAGTACATTAAACATGCATCAGCATGTGAGTAACCTGGTATGGGAATGCTCTTTTCTGCTTCGATAGCTTAGCCGAATAAGAGCTTCCCTTGATTTGGACACAACAAAATCATTCATGGTCAGTCGAGTTGACTATTACAACAGTTTGCTGAGCAGATGCCCGAAGTCAACAATATATGGACTAAACAAAAGTCCATATATTGTACAAAAATCAGTACAAAACCGTGCAGCAAAGCTTATGGTTCAAGGGAGAAAATACGATCATGTAACTCCAATTTTTTGTGAGTTACATTGGCTACCAATTAAAAACAGAATCGTATTCAAAGTTTTGGGGATGGTGAAGCGATGTATCAGAGGTGCGGCTCAGAAATACTTAATTTATTTGTCAAAAAACACTGAAAACCGAAGAGAGTAGAGTCCTAATGTCTTCCATAAACAATAATCTTCAGATACCGTGGGCTAAGTCATCAACGGCTTCAAGAAATTTTGCCGTGTACGGTCCAAAGATTTGGAATAGTTTACCAACAGAATTGAAGACCAATGAAATAGAAGAGACTGTCTTTAGGAAGAGATTAAAAGCGCACTTTTGGGATAAACCGTTGATGAGAACTTGAATGGGCGCTCTATATGATATAAACTCTACGTATAATAATAATAATGTATGTGTGTTTGTGTGGTGTGCGGGTGTGTGTGTGTTATATCTGATAAGTTCCTAGGAACAAACCGATCTAGATAACTTGAGCTTTTAAAAGCAGTATTTTTATGAAAACTGTATAAAAATGTGATGGGTTGTGGTGCTGGCAATGCAGTCCGTTAGCTCTGAATTTTGTTGGTTTTGTAAGCTAATTTTTGCAAGAACTTACAACTGTTTTTGTGAACTTAATGATATCTGGAGCAGTGATAAAAGAAGCTATAATTTCATCTGGAAGGCACGTTTTGTATTTTTTCTTGGTGCACCCCAGTGAATTTAATGAAATTAAGAGAAGAATATTTTTAAACAGATTTTTCTATTTTCCAAATTTAAATTCAAATTATTCGAAATATCGATGTTTTAAAATAATCAAATTAGATTTTTTTCTTTTACTTTTAAAAATCCAAATGTTGGCACGTGTAGCATCTTCTAATGATGTAAAGGTCATACACCGAGGTAGAATCAATTTTTTTATGACTGATGACTGCGTCCAAACTCTTTTTAAATCACGTACGCTATGCAGACTGTTTATTGACTTTGAATCAAAAAAATTTAAAAAGTATTTTAAATTTAATAATTTTTAATAAATATTTCTAGACAGTCTACAAACACATGGTAGTGATTAGTCATAACAAAATGAAACCTCCAAACATGATGAAATTTTACAAGATGTTTATGTTTGAATTGTGCAGATATGCTATACGTTCCTTTGTCTTTCTGTCTGCTGAACAAAAATAACTACAAATAACAATTGTCAGAGTTGCATGGTGCCAAAGTACACACTCCTCATACATGCCTCAAAAAGTTTTTATAATTTTCTTTAAAATAAAATATTTGTCTCCTTTTAAACATAGAAGCGCGTACGCACATGTTGCATCTGTTGTGTGACTTTATGGCTGCTCACTTTTTGAAATGTTTTGCTCAAGTTAATAATGTTAATTTCTTTGGTAATAAATTAAACTTGTGAAATTTTATAAACAACTTATTGCAATTCATTAGAATAAAATTGTTATTTCTTGAAATTTTATAGTTGGTTGCCGTCAGGTTTTCTTATAAATATTAACTAAAACTAATAGGTAAACAACAATGTAGCCATTTAAAAAAATTTCATCGACCTTTACAAAACCCGATTTTTAACATATTGTAGTAGTTGAAATGAGGTGATATTTAATAAGTGACGCAAGTACTTCACGAATGTTATTCGTTGTTGACCGCGATATCTGTTCCCTGCAACCTTTCCTGTAGATTTTCCATTCTTTCCTTTCGCATGACGTGAACAAAAAACTTTAACTGCCCCCGTCGGATTATATCTGTAGTAATTTCCTCTTTTCATAACCGGACTGTTTTAATACATCCTCATTCGAAGTATGAGAGGTCCAACTAATTTTCATGATTCTTCTCAAAAACCACATCTCAGCAGCGTTAATCTTTTTCCATTTCTTCAGAAATTGTCCAGGACTCAGAGCCGTAAGTTAGCACAGGAAAAATTTAGCATCTTAACTGTTTTAATTTTGTTAATATTCTGATTTTACTGTTGGTGAAGATGTTTTTCATTTTAGAATATGCATCTTTTGCCATAGCTATCCTTCTTTTGGTGGCGTCTAATTCCATGAGTTTTCTTAGCAATAAATGATCATTTTTTGTAAACATTATAGTTATATAACATACAAATTAAAATATAATAATTGCGTGCAGACGTAAAAACATTTTTGCACTTATGTGTGAACGAACCACACTTTAAAAGCACTATCATAAACGAACTGATATACAAATTATAAAGAATTTAAGTATGGGAAATAAATAAATAATAAATTAATTCATCATTAATTGGTCCCATAGGCTCTCACTCATACTTCTGAATGTATTAACTTACAAATTAAAAACATTTCTTTTTTATGCACAAGTTTAATAAACAACATTCATCCAGTCATTTTTCAACATTGTGTTCATTCTTTGGATTAGCATTCGCGATCTAACGAGACAGTTGTTTCATTTCACAAAGATGTAACTCAAGCTATAAAATATATTCTACTCTCTCTTTCATTTTTAGTAAAGTTTCTTCTGGAATGGTTCATGTTGATCAACTTTTCAATTATTCTTGATTGAAAAGTTTTTGACCAGTTGGGCATCATCTAGTTTTGAAAAATAATAAATTATTTGATGTAAATTTGATTTTAAGTACTTTCTATTTTAATAATATAAATGAAAAAATACAATAATTTCTTTGAAAATAGCTCTACACTACAATTCGTTTTTTATTTCACTTTTATTTTGTTTATTGAAGTTTTAAAAAAAATCAAGTAGAAAACCTGTTTTTTTGAATGGAAAAATTTGATCAAATCGAAAAAATGGAATGCTGCTATGTTTCAAAAACACTGGTGTTAGTTTCGGGAACGGGCGGTCGTTTTAAAGTGGATAGGGACCTGTTCCATCGGATCAGCGATTATTACCAGGCTCGTGTAAAGAGTGGAATGAAAGATGCTCACCATACTGAACTCACACTCGATCTTTTGTCTGACCGCTGCTTGGCTGAGGTTGAAGAATTTATGCTGAAAATGCAGTGTAATAATAAGGAAATTGAAGAACAATCTCTGGAAAACTTGGAGGAAGCGATGCACGGCGCATTGTATTTGCAAGTTGGTGACATGATCCATCAATACATTAGCCTGCTTGAGAAACACATAACGGATTCAACATGGATACGCGTATTGAACATTGCAAAGAAGTGTGGAGCGGATACGTTAATAGCCAAGTTTTTGGATTTTGTTTGTGAAAATTTTACCAGATTTGTTCAGACATCTGACATGTTAACGTTATCGCCAAATGATTTGCTCCACTTGTTAAAATCGGATCTTCTTGATGCAGATAGCGAGATTGATGTTTTCAAATTTGTTATAAAGTGGATTTCTATGGAGGAATCGAGAAGACCTCTTGCAGAGAAACTATTGGCTGAAGTGAGGTTCAGTTTGATGACAACCGGTGAGAAACAGGAATGCAGTGCTATGCTCAGTGAGATGAATTTATCTCATTGTCAACATGAACGTATAGCAAAAGCCCGTGACACCACTGAAGTGATGCTGATCTTCAAAGGTCTCCACGGAAAGGTTCCTACTAAATATTTAATAAGTAACTTTTCATTGAAGTTATGAAAAGGTTTCGCTTCACTTTGGGAATTTTTTTTATCTAAATTTTACTATCTTTTTCTTAAACTTATTTTAACTTCCTTTTTGTTAAGAAACATCGTGTTCTCGATAATGCGCTTCATTATCCATTTTTCAATATATCCTTCAATATTCTCTGTTAATGAATTTTTCAAACCCACTTTCAGAGGATAGGTAGAGAAACGATTATTTTTATTCTTCAATATTTCTATACACTTATCTTGTCTCGAATAAATTTACTATCGATGTCTTTTTGTTTCAATTAACTTCATTTAGAACAAATAATATTCTAAAAGATTGATGGCTTTCACTTTCGACCTATTGAACATCTGGAAGCCAGTGAGAGAGATACAACTTGGAGAGATTATCCAATGGATGATGTCGTCGTCGAGGTGACTTCCGACAAATTGGACCGTTACAAAGCGGTCGACCTACCGATGAAATGGTGCGATTATGAAGTCTGCATCGCTGACAGGTGTTTGTACGTGGCTGGCGGATCGGAGTTTTCGTTTCGCTCCATTTTGTATCAGTTGACTAGCAAAGTTTACGTTTTCAGTTTCGCGCAATCTCTCTGGAAACAGGTTTGACGTTTGTTAAGAAATTTACTTTTCACGTTTTAAATTTAGATTTTTTAGACTACAACGAATGGTTCGTTTGAAAGATGCCTCTAAGTATTGGATGGTTTCGAGTATATATTAATTTCAGCATTCAGATCATTTTGTTTATTATTAATGTTCACAGTCTGTTCTTTAATTCAAATTAATGAAATAATTACTTGTAGCTTAAATGTTGATTTAATTATTGCTTTCAGTATTTTGACAGTTATATATATATTTACTGTTTGATGCAGTGCTCCAGCATGCACCTTCCAAGAAAATCATTCTACTTTTGCAGCATGGCTGAAGGTTTGTTTGCAGTTTCAGGAAAGACGAAGTTCAACAAGTTGACATCCACAGTGGAGAGGTACAAGCCGATGGTTGATGAGTGGCAGACGGTGACACCTCTGCCCGTCGCAGTTTGTGGTCCCGCAGGTTCAACCAAATTTGAAATCTCTAAATTTACTATTTTATAGTATTTGTTCAACTTGAATGTTGATGTTTATTAATTTATTAATAAAAATTAGTGCTAACACTTTGAAATATTCCGCCTTCGGGTTCAATACTTTTACAAACGACTGATCAGGATGTGTACGCAAGGGCAGGATGTACGTGAGCGGAGGACATACAAGCTCCGGGGACGTGAGTGACTCCGTGTGGCAGTTCGATCCCACCTGCAACACCTGGTCCTCGGTGACTCCGTTGTTGAGAGCGCGTTTTAACCACACGATGGCATCCGCTGGAGATAAATTGATTGTTGTCGGTGGGGCCAATGCAGTAAGAACGTTCTCATTCGATCATTTGATGGTAAGCCTGCTTCTAACCAGTTCCAAGTTTTACAATACAACAAATAATTGAAATTTTTGTGATCAACAATTTCGGTGAAGGACGGAGAAATGTACGATTTTGAAGCTGACCAGTGGTCGGATTTCATAAAGTTGGAGAAGCCTGCCTGCTCGTCGCCATCCATCCTGATCGGAAGTTCTCTCTATCTTTTTGCCGGAGTCATGGATCTTTCAGGTGAATCGCTTGTTCAAAAAATCAACATGTCTAAATATTTAAATGAGAAATCTTCTGATGAATCTGTGGTGATGGAGAGGAAGAAGACTTTGAATGAAAATTTTGAAAAGTGTACCGCGATGGAGGAAGTGGAAGAGAAACGGACCATCAGTCCCGACCGTAAGGATTATTGCGAGGTTTCGTCGTTCAGATTTGATGGAGGGTGTTTCAGGAACATGTGTGTTACCAAGTTACCAAAAAAATTATTTTTACAGTCTCTTTGATCGAGGTCTGAAATTGAACTATATACTTACGAATTTCTTTTATTTGTTTTTGTTTAAACGAAATCTCTGCAAATGATTTTAACAAAATGTTAGTTAAGTTAATAAAAATAAGCTAGGTGTTTATATAAATGTATGTGTGTTTATATGAATTTATGTGTGTATAAGGTATATAAATAATTTTATGTATGTGTTTACATCAATAATAATTTATACATTTAAATAAATACACATGTGAATATTTTGTGTCGGGTTTAAATTGAAATTTATGTCAACAACTTCATTACTAATGACAAAAAAATAATAACACAAATTCGAAAATATCGGACATATTTATCACTGACATTGTGATGATGATTATCTCTGAGATGATGATAACGACGACGAATGGATGGTGAAGTGTTTCAATCCATTTCCTATCGTTCTGAATAGAAACTGATGAATGGAAACTGATGAATGGAAACTGATGAATGGAAACTGATGAATGGAATAAAAAAGTCCGACCTATAACTGATGGAGGCTATAAACGAGGATTAATTCCTATTGTTCTTGCTGGTCATCATTCCATTAGCGCTAAACTCGATATGCCTCGTAGTATGCAAAAGTCAAACACTCATTCAAAGGTTAAAAAGTTAAAGGTCATTCTCATGTTAAAAGGTTAAAGCTCACTCGTGTACTCGCCTCATAGAACGACAGACACACGCAGCCTATCTGTATATGTCATAAATACAAATACCCTTGAAATGAAAAAACAAATTTAATTAAAAAAATATTTTTATTTATTTAATTACCATCTCGTTATTCATTTAAAAATAACTTTGCCAATATTTTGAAAAGATTGATATAGGTATCATTTTCGCCACTTCTTCTACTCATCAGAAATGATGAAAATGTTTATATGAGTGAACAAAGGAAAAAAATAAATGATGTCATTTTCGTTATCATCGGCTTCACCATTTTCATTTTCTACCATCGACACAATTCAATTTTTACTATCCATTCCCCCATTTGTATAGGGATAGACTAAAAGAACTAAAAGAATGCGGATTAACAACACTAGACTGGAGAGGATTCAGACATACAAGTTAATAACTGGAAAAGAAGAAACACCGTTCTCCAGGTTTTTTCAACTAGAAAAGAGGAAAAGATTAAGAGGTTATAGATACAAGCTCTTCAAGAAGACAAAAAATCCAACAAAGCAAAGATTTTTCAGCAGCAGGGTGGTAAACGCCTGGAACGAGCTGGCGATGAAATTGTTTCAGTGGATTCAATCAAAATTTTTAAAATCAGGATAGGAGAGCTAGGATGCTAGGGCATTTGTTTTGTAGTGGTTCTTACACAGATGCTAATCTACTGAATCGCTTTAAACTTTGTCATGTTATTATGCAATGTTATTTCATCTACTTATAAGAAAGAAAAAGTCGATGATCCAATCTCTTTCAAGTCCAATTCCCAAATTATCAATTTTCGCGTTAGCTCCGCAACGGACACGGATTCAAAGTTTAACCCAGATAAAGATTTTAAAACGGCTTATATCTTTCAACGGGATACTTTGATATAAATCATTAAAAAAGCAAGTTTTATTGTTTGTGGTGAATGTATATTTATATCTCAAAACAAAGTTTATAAAAATTTATAATACAAAAATTGTAATCTATAATTGTAAATTTTTTTTGGTAAATTTAATATTTTAAAATTATAAAAATAATGAAGGATTTATAATTTTTTTAATTTATTATTTTTTCACTAGGTTCAGCCATGGCGATTAAAATTAAATTTTAATTAGTCAAATTTTTCAAAAAGTTGACTAATAAAAATTACTTAATCAGTCAGCAACTACTCCATACCTAAAAATTTGACGTATCTAAAATTTATAAATGAATACAGATTTTGTAGTTGCATTATATTTTTTGAATTTCAGTTTGCAAGTTTAAACTTTGAGTCTTACGGTAAGAGAATCGTATTTTATATCAAAAAAGCCTTTGGAAAAAGTAAGAACAGGGAGTGAATGTAATGGAATTCAACGACAGACTTTAATGGAATGGAAGACATTGTTATTTGCAGTGATGCATAGAAATAATTAATTCTTGGGTTAATTAATTAGAAGTTAATTTAAAAGTCTAAACGTAAACTTTCAATAAAAAAGTATATAATCGAGATATATATGTATGTATGTATGCATGTATGTACAATATGTATATAAATATATATATATATATATATATATATATATATATATAGCATGTTCGACGTTAGTTAACTGTTAGTTAGTTAGCTATATATACACATATATGTGTATATATATATATACTGAATTGTATGAATTCTACCGAATTGTTGGCATTGGTTTTTCTTTTCAATTTTTCTTTTATTAGCAGGTAATTTGTGACCAACACAATCAAATGCTGCCCTCATATGAAGATGAGCAAGAAGTTAAACATTATTCTATTCCACGGATTCAAACTAGTAAGACGTCAGTCACATCAACAGGTGCTGTTTCGCTGTGGTGGAGTGAAACTTTCGATCACTAGATTTTAGAGGTAGCAAAAAATTATGTACATTCGAATATGGAAACAAACTGCATTGCAACTACACGTTCAATCAATTTTGAAAGGAACATTAGATTTGATACCGGGCGATCATTATTGATTTCATCTTTATCAAATCTTTGTTTTTTTTAATCTATAATATAATCAATATATAAGTGATGATGAGAATAGTAAATAAGGATATTATTATTAATAGAAATAATAATAACTGAACTTACTAAACAAAGATGACCTAAATAGACAAAATATGAATACCAAATATGAAGAATATTGGCCGGTTGTATAGAAATAGAAACTCATTGAATATTATTGCAAACGTAATAAACTTAGTTTGATAGTAAAATTAATAAAGTGAATTCGTTATCATTGAGTGAAATTATATTTTTTCGTATTTATAATACAAGGTACTATATCATTCGTTACTGCTGATTTTAATTGTGTCTATATATGATACATAGATTCTATACAATATGATACTTAGTTATATATATATAAAGAGATATATATATATCAGTATCAGTACTTATATATCATATATCAGTTGAGTATTATATAATATATATAAATATATGATATATGATATAGGTATGATTATATATAGGTACATATTATACATAGCATGCTAATTTGTGGTGTATTAAACTTTTTGTTTTTTAGATGTTGTGTTGTATTGCAAATGAACGATATACGGGCCGTATGTATATATATTTACGTAACAGACCTTGAGAAGATTTGAGGTTTTAGGTTAGAAAGATTAAACTTTAATCATTCAAAAGTTGATATTTTGGTGTCTCGGTGATTGATTAATGATATGTAATAATTAGATTTGAATGTCATTTTGTTGATTTTTTAATATTTCCCTCGTTTCTTGAGAAATTTCTTGAGTTGGTTGGTTGTGGGATGTTGAGGAGAGCCATATATTTTTTCAAAGGTTAAGAGTCTGTTTATTGTCTTGCTAGTATTTTATTTTATATGTGAAAGTGAAGTATTGCAAATTTGGTTTATATATTTATGTATGGGAAAATTTTAGACCACTATTGTATTTTAAATTAAATTAATTCATTATTTTGCAATTTCGCTTGGTAAACAAACAAGCTTTTTTTGCCTAGATTATTTTAAAAGTTAAGGTTAAACTTGTTCATTTTATATATTTTAGTATTTTAAAAATTAATCTTTGTAGTTTATTTCATAAAATTATAAAATACAAATGAAGGATAATAAACATAAACATTAAAACCTATATTACATTCATAATGTTTTTATTTTGTAACTTTCTGTTAATTTTGTGAAAAAATTAATGCAAGTTATTTTGTGTGTCTGGAGTATATTTAAGTTATGTCTGTTGAATTAATCATACTCTTCTGTAAGTTTTTTTTAGTTACTCACAAGTCATAACTCATAAAAGATATTAATTAGAAAAATCTTTTAAAACTTTGATCAGTGGTTTAAACTTCAAATTCTTCAATCTTCATTCAATTCATTTACATCTTCTTAGAAAACATCACTGTGTGACAGATATTTTTCTTCATCATCTCCTCAACAAATCAGCTACAAAAAATGACGAGCCAACAATCTGACATGTCTTTTGCAAGAAGGACAGCCAAGAATTCAGTATCAGGGACGATATCTGGCATAGCTGGGTGCATAGTTGGACACCCGTTCGACACGTTGAAGGTTCGACTACAGACTCAGCCAGTTCATGCTCCGATTTATAATGGGTTGATCGATTGTTTCATGAAAACCTTGAAATGGGAAGGTATTGGTGGTCTCTACAAGGGAGTTGGTCAGTTCATGTTTTCACAAATTTAACTTTTTTCAGTACAGTACTACTTAGATGTACTATGATACTTAGATATACTATAATGGTACTTAGATATACTATAATGATACTTTGATATACTATATTGATACTTAGATATAATATAATGTTAGTTAGATATACTATAATGATAGTTAGATATACTATAATGATAGTTAGATATACTATAATGATAATAAGATATACTATAATGATACTTAGATATTACTATTGATATCTTTTTATAAATGAATAAAAAATTGGATTTATTCCTAAATAAATTAATAACCATACAACTATTTTAATAAAAAATAAATTAATTGATGAATAGATAGATAAATAAAATGCCTAATTATCTAGTTAATTAATTAATTATATTAATGATGAATAATCAAATTAATTAACAAACATAGGTTCACCAATTGTTGGACAAATGTTCTTCAGAGCAACTCTTTTCACAAGTTTCTACCAGGTACCTCCCAAACTATTATAACTATAGTAATCATGCTATTATAATAGATCAATCAATCAATCTTCGTTTTGCGTCCAGAGACCCGGTTTCCCGAGGTAGGACGTGCTATTATAATAGATATTACATTCATTCATTTCAATTCCAATGATTTTTTATTTGTCTGAAATAGAAGCAGGAGATCCAAAGTTTAACTCATTGGGCTTCCTTATACAACAGTCGAAACCAAATTAATCACAAACAACTACTATAAAACTGAAAAACTGAAATAAACAATTTTTTTTTTATTCTTTACAATGCAGCTCTGTCAAATGCAAAACTGCTTGCATGCTATTCTCTAGTTATAATTAAACTTTTATGCCAAAAAACTGTGCACATTATGTAACTAATTTTTATGTCAGTAACATGTAGATATATATATCTCTCATATTTGCTTGATTGACATATTTTTTCATATTGAAGTTTCAAATAATTAAATTTACATGTTGGACGTAGATTCATTGTCAATTCTTAAAATAGTATTCGATCATTTATTTATCAAGAGATTAGAATTTGGCACTCTGTTGACATTAAACTTTTGTTGTTTTATTATTATTAATATTGTTGTTGTTGTTTTTATTATTGTTGTTATTATTATAATTATAATTATTACTATTACTATTGTAACGCAACTTTCTACCCACAGTTTCAAGCCCTAATAGCAGGTAAAATAGGTTGGGTCAAAGGTTAACGAATCCGGAATATTTTCTTGCTGGGGCATGTACAGGGTTCGTGGCCGGGTTCGTCGAGGCACCCATTGATCTGGTTGGTTGGGGATTGAATTTAGTTTAATATTTGTTAATATAATATTTGTTTTTTCAAATATTTATTTTTAGTTAGCATCTTTGATAATGGTTTAGTGGTTTTTAAAGTTTTCAGTCGATCATTCATCTTTTCAATAGGATTGGTTCATTCATTCATTCATTCATTCATTCATTCATTCATTCATTCATTCATTCATTCATTCATTCATTCATGCATTCATTCATTCATTCATTCATTCATTCATCCATCCATCCACTCACTCACTCACTCACTCATTCATACGTTCATTTGTTTATTATTCTATCTCTCTTTTAACAACCACGAGTGCTTGGTTGTTATGTAACAAAAAATATGTTTTCTCAAACTGAAAGTAAATAAGCAAATCTCTCAACCTGTGAATAGCCTGATGTCAATTGACAGACTGTATAATAAATCCGATACTCTCCGTCTTATGAATAGCAAGCACTCTTGACAATGTAGTGTAATTTAAACTACCATTGATAAGGAAAATTCAATATAAAATTCATAATTATTATTAATATTATTACATCCATAAATATCGTAATTTACTTTTTAGAAGTACCAACAACAACTCACCGCACACATACACACCACACAAACACACACACACACTTATTGAAAATTGCATAACGAATTATGGTAAAAAAACCAGTTGAAGTTGTTATTTGAAAGCCTGTTTGTCTCAGTCGAATGATAATACCGATAAGAAATTCTACGTGATGATCTGAACGTGAACTTTGAACTCAATGCACGCATTACGGTCAACTTTATACTTCCACTACGACAGCTGAAGACCAAAATGCAGATCCAAATAATCCGGGCGAAGAGCGGAGGGATCGTACAGTACAGGAACGTCTTCCATGCTGGTTACGTCATCACGAAGACCCACGGTGTCAAGGCCCTCTTCCAGGGGCTCATACCAACCATCATGAGAGACACGCCAGGGTGCGCCGCTTATTTCGGTGAGGAGTTGTGGGGAGTTATCGGGTGCTCTATTTAAGTTTTATTGATTCAAATTTATCGTACAGTCACAAATTTCAAGAATAAATAAATCCTTAATGAGCGTAGGTTTCTACGAAGTCTTGAAAACTGTCCTCACCCCTTCGAACATGTCCGTGGCCAACCCTCCAACCTGGTGCATCTTCATCGCCGCAGCAACGGGGGGTACGCTGTACTGGGTCATCACCTACCCCATTGACGTCATCAAGTCCACCTTGCAATCCGACGAGTCGGACAAAAAACAGAGAAAGTTCAAGGGTGTTGTTGACTGTGCCAGAAGATTGTACCTGGAGGAAGGGGGCTGGAGGAGGTTCTTCAAAGGGTTCTCCCCGTGTCTCATGAGGGCCATCCCTGCCAACGTCACCATGTTGTGGACTGTTGAGAAGTGTAGGATCATTTTGGATCCATACTTCTAGAGAGGCCCTTTTCATTTGATGTAATTTACATACGGTGAATTTTTTGCCGAAATTGAAAGTCTTCTTTCACAGTTAAGTTTGAGAGCGAAAGAAAAGTTTCCAAGAAAGTTGTTCTTGGGCTCGATGTTTTAATTATTTCACCGAATATTTATTTGTATATTATGCGAATGTTTATATATTTTTTATGATTTGAAATTTTTAGCAGATATATTTATTTTTTCTTTAATTAGTTCGTTTATTTATTCATTAACTCAGCTATTATTTCATTTGTTCGTTCGTTCATTCATTCCTTCATTCATTCATTCATTCATTCATACATTTATTCATTCATTTATTCATTCATTCATTCATTCATTCATTCATTCATTCATTCATTCATTCATTCATTCATTCATTCATTCATTCATTTATTCATTCGTTTGTTTTTTCGTTCTTTCATTCATTAATGAAATGGTTTCAAAATCAGTCGCTCAGTTGTTTTTAGTTTAACTTTTTTTTCTGCAATCTAAGGGGTACGTTGTTTTACGGTGAAGAAATACATCATTCATTAGAATTCATTAATTTTTTTAGAAATGGCCAGTATCTTATTGTTCTGTGTGTGTGTGTGTGTGTGTGTGTGTGTGTGTGTGTGTGTGTGTGCGTTTGTTTGTGTTCGTATGTATGCGTGTGTTTGTGTTCGTATGTGGTTGTTTTATCATCCGCTAGTCGATTCGTGCAGTGAGTTTGGGTTTCAATTTTTAGCGCTTCTTGAACTTTATTTTTGTGTTTAATTTTATTTTTGATTTTAAACATCTTTCAGAAATTTTATTTTCAATTTTTAATTAATTATGCTGCTTCTTTAAAATTATTACTGCTGCTGCTGATGAGGATGATTTTGAAAACGGTTTGAAGACGATGATCACACACACACGCGCACACACACAACACGCACGCACGTACACACGCTCACATATAATTACAAAAGTGTCTTAAATTGGGTTTTATCGAGTTTTTATACCTTTTCCCATAATTTGTATAAAATAATTTTCTTTTTTTCCTCAAACGAGTTATTGTATAAAAAATTTACACTAAACTCTTTGCCTAATCCGTGTGCTACTACTTAGCCACTCAGTGTTGTATCTACATCTAATTCATACATGTGCACCAATTAATTTTAGGGCGGGCCATATTTGATGAACATATCATTATGGGAGGGGGCCTTGCTTATTGTTTCTTTTGTTCATTCATTCATTCATTTGTTTATTCGATGATTGATTGGTTGATTGGTTGGTTGGTTGGTTGGTTGATTGGTTGGTTGGTTAGTTGGTTGGTTGGTGGGCTGGTTGGCTGGTTGGTTGGTTGGTTGATTGATTGATCGATCGATCAATCGAATGACTGATTGATTGTTTCATTCATTCATTCACTTTTTTATTTTTTTATTATATACATTGACGATGTAAATATTATTCGCTATGTCTATCATTTTTAATTTTGTATAATTAAATTATAAATAATATTATTATATATATTATTATTATTAACATTTATCGACTGTTATCGTCTTTATGTTTGCCCTCTTCTCCATGTTGCTTTTAATTTATTTATTCATTAATTAATTCATTACATCATTGTCTTTATACCATAGTATTATTAACTACACTTATAGGTTAGTAATTAGTAATTTATTGTTAGGATGGACTTGATACATTTACCAGTTGATGGATTTCTCAAAATTTTTACTAACTTATTCCTGAAATGTGTGTTCGTCTGCTTGGTTGCATTAACACCTGCCAGCTTAATTAGTTAGTAGTAATGTAGTAACAATACTTTTTTACGTTACATCGATGTCTATTATTATTATTATTGTTATTATTATTACTGCTATTTATTATTATTATTATTATTTGTTATAGTAGTAGTCGTAGTAGTAGTAGCAGCAGTAGTAATAATAATAAAGTAGTAGTAGTAGTTGTTGTAGTAGTACTACTACTACTACTACTACTACTACTAGTAGTAGTAGTAGTAGTAGTAGTAGTAGTTGTTGTTGTTGTTGTAGTAGTAGTTGTAGTAGTAGTAGTAGGTAGTTTATTACGATTATAATTTTTTTTTCATTAAAATTTGCTTGTCTTTATTTTGCATGGGCATAATTTATTGTGAGGAAAAAGTGAAGGAAAAATATTTGGTAGTTGCTAGACCGGTGTTGTTCTCATTCTGTCGTTATAAAGTTAAATACTCGTACATGAATGAATAAATGAATGGTGAATGAATGCATGAACTGAAGAAATGAACGAATGAAGGGTTGATCTCCAGCCTCCAACGTTACAATTGCTGGATCAAGCCTGTCTGAATCAACAAGTCTTAAACTTCTAGGGCATTACTCTTGATCCGTCTCTAACTTTCAAACTCTCAAACTTCTGCTCTCTTCAGAATATGTACATTACATTATTTGCTCTATTGAATCGGCGTCTGTTTGAGCAGGCCTTTGGCGGCCGTGCTGACATTCGTTTATTCGGGCCCCTCTGACGCTATGCATAGGGCACTCTTAAATTACATTATTATTATTTATTATTATTATTATAAATTAACGAAATAAATGACCAAACTAAAATGATGGGCAATTATTCCGCCTATATACGGACGAATAACTATATTTGAAAGAGAGAGTAGACGAATTAATGACTGAACAATCGATCATTCATTAATTCAGACAAGTGAGTCAATAATTGTGTGTGATGTCTGCCTGTCTATTTACGTGCAGTAAAAAGTAGCTATCGAAACACCAGTATATCTTTATATTAGTAATATTAATATCAATTTCTCACCATACACAAACACACACGTACACAGACATACAAACAAATACACCCAAATGCACACATACACACACACACGCAGCAAATGATGCATTAAATTGAACCACAAGATTTAAAAACTAGGCTGTCGAATGCTGGCTTTGAATGTGTCTCTATCTACGCGTAGCTGAACGTAATATATCCAGAGTGTATGCTATATATTCATTTCACAGTACATGCTATAGGTGGTTTATTATTTGTATATAAATGTTAAAGCTGGATATTGTATATAAAAGTTTTGTTTTTTCAAACTGGGCCATTGTAATATTCAGACCGGATTGGTTGTCGGCCAGTTTATGTCATCAACTTGCTTGATGGGTTTTTGACGGTTTTTTGTGAGGTTGACTTTTAAACAACGCCCCATTTGCCTGCCTGGCCTGGAAGTTTTTTTAAGATCTAGAGACAAAATGCCCGCCAGTTACACAACTGAAAATGTTAGATTATTGTTAGATTATTATTATTTTATTATTATTATTATTTTATTTTATTGTTATTATGCTATCTTTTTATAAGTTTTTTTTTCATTTTTTGGAAAATAGAAAAATTTTAATCCAACTAGATTATAATAACTAAACCAATTAACTATTTAAACTCGTATACTGTATAATAATAGTATAGATAGTTGATTGATCAATCATATCAAAAACACATACACAAACACATATTACACACACATACACATATTAAACACATACACATATTAAACACATACACATATTAAACACATATACATATTCAACACATACACATATTACACACACATACACATATTAAACACATACACATATTTAATTACACATACATACAGCATATACACTGAAATAATCAATAAATAATAACCACATTATCACATTTCACTGCTAGGCTCATATTATCTCATTGCATTTATTTTTAGCATCATTTTCTTGTTGCTTTAAATATAAATTTACAGATAGGATGGATATTGTTTAGTTAGATCTTATATAAAAATGAATACAAATGTTTGTAAACGTATAACACACACACACACGCGCGCGCGCGCGCGGACGCACACACCCATATATATATATATATATATATTTGGTAAGATAAATTGAAAAGACAAACTTAAAATTGATTAATGTATAATTCATAAAATACTGCTTAAAATATGGTCTCCTTCCAACACGCACACACACACACACACACACACACATATATATATACATATATATATATATATATATATATATATATACTACATATAGTGTCTAATTAATTCACTTTTCAATTCAAAGGTTATAGCAGAAATGAGTAACTATTGTTGCATTGCAAAGATGCTGACGACGACGACGACGATGGTGATGATAACGATGGTGATGATAACGGTGGTGATGATAACGATGGTGATGATAACGGTGGTGATGATGTGGCTGATAGCGTGACGACGACGATAATGATGATGATGTCATCATCATCTAATCATCATGATCATCATCATCGTCGTCAATGATATGATGGTGGCTAAGATGATGATAATACTTATGACGATGATGATGATGCAGACAATGATGATGAAAGTTTTGATCGATGTAGTAGCGATGATGATTAGAACATGGCACGCACACGCACACACACACACACGCACACACACATACACACACAAATACACACAAACACACACGTATGTATAACTGTATAATTAATAATCTGTTTCTAAACAGATCATATTTCTCTGATATATTTTTTCATTTATGCGAAGAAGTTTTAAAAAGTTACATGATGTTTAACTTCATCAGCGTTTGATATATTCCTTTAGGTTTCAATCATTCTGATATGCAACATTAAAAGTCATAATTTTATCTCATGATGTGATGACGACGAGGGTGATGGTGATGATGATGATAACGATGATGATGGTGGTGATAATGGTGGTAATGATGATATTATGATGATGATGATGATGATGATGATGATGATGATGATGAAGATGATGATGATGATGACGGAGAGGATGGTAATGACAATTGTGATGATAACAATGACGATAATAATAATAGTAATAATAATAATAATAACAACAACAACAATAATAATAATAATAATAAAATAATAATAATAGCCCAAGTAACAACAACCAAAATAATAATAATAATGAGAAAAAAAGTTAAAGTCTTCAAATGATTTCATTCATTTTTCGGAATGATAGTTTAGAGACACTACCACAACTGCTAGGAATTTCTAAATGCCTAGCTGCTTTCGGAACTGAAGAGACAATTTGAACTCTATTGTTATGCTGCGTGCTACCTTTTGCTACCGCTGAACAACTGATGCCACTCAAAAACTATGGCTACTACTGTTACTACTGCTGTCGCGACTTCTCCTACTACTACGGCCGTTTAAAACATTTTATATTGCCGGCAAAACTTCAAAAATCGGTGTTGGTACAGACAATACATTTAAAAAGCAGGGGTGGGCAAACATTTTGCTGTGAGGGCCGCATTGAAAACTATTTTATCTTTGAAGGGCCGCATATGTACTTAAATAGCGAATTTTTTCGACCCGGGGGAGAATTTTTTAAGATTTGTGGCTTTTTTGGTCATAATGTCTGGCTGGCCGAAGTTTGCTTACCCCTGCTTTATTGCGTATTGGTAATATAGTTTCTGGGTATTGCCAACAACCCTGACCACTATTGCAACAACAACAACAAATACATCTACTACCACTACAATTATCATCATTATTATTATTGATATTATTATTTTATTATTATTATTATTATTTTATTATTATTATTATTATTTTATTATTATTATTTTATTATTATTATTTTATTATTATTATTATTATTTTATTATTATTATTTTATTATTATTATTATTATTTTATTATTGATATTATTATTTTATTATTATTATTAATTTTTCCTATCTTTCTCGTTATTATGTTTAGATAATTTTAATGCGACTTCATATTATTTACAAACAGCAAGGGCATAGTTTAGAGTTCAAAGTTCAACTGTCATCATCTCTTCCATGTAAATAACTATCATCGTCATCATAAAGTTCAATGTATCAAATCAACACAGCAGAAACAAAACAATACTAAACTTAAATATATGTGAATATCATCTATCAAGATATCCATATATCTATCATCTACCAAGATGATAGATCGGTACTGCATGAGTGTGTTACAAGGTACTAGTGATCTTCTCAGAGCTGGATTTAAGGTTGTGGATACCCTGGAAGAAGAGGAAATGAAGCCCTCTAATTATGTGTTTGTATGTATGTGTGTGTGTGTGTGTGTTGTTTTTAATTTACGTCAGTTGATTTTTGTACTTTTGTTATATATATATATATATATGTGTGTGTGTGTGTGTGTGTGTGTGTGTGTGTGTGTGTGTTGTGGTTATATACATGTTACGAGTTTTATGTGACGCATATGTATGTATATTTAATTTATAGCGTTATTTGATATAAGGAATTGTAGTAAATTATTTTGTTAAGTTTTCAGTTAAATTTTGTTTGGATCTAAAATGGTCATTAATAAACTGTTAATAATACAGTTTAATATTATTTATTTAATAATTTTTTCATTCATTTATTCATATATATTTTCATTCATTTTTCGAAAAAAAATAACAAAAATGAAGTAAAAATTACGGGATACACGTTTTTGGAGTAGTTGTTAACTTGAAGGCAGCTAGTTTTATCCCCACAACTATCATCTGACCTGATCATTATGTGGATTATATTTTATTTACATTACACTTGCTATGACTATGGGTTTTTACGAACATGCAAAACATGTAACACTTTGTACTCGCAATATAGTATGTCTGTGATATCAATTGAAATGTATATATATATATATATATTCTATGCTACAGATGGACGGCTAATGAATGATTGTGTGAAGCTAACATAAAAACACACACCTTCACTCACACACGCACAGACACAAACATTCACTCACACACGCACGCACACAGACACACATACACACACACAAACAATTACATGCTGATATACTTGCATACGTAATAAACCGAAAATTCGGACACACTGAAATACCTCTGAAAAATTACACATTACAATTGCATAGTTGGACAAGGAAGTGAATGACGACACATGAGGAATTTAAAAAAAAATAGAAGCACATACACAGACACACATATGGGGCGTGACACACACAAACACACACATGAAACAAACGCGCGCACACACGGATCATATACACATCAACATGCACCTAGTTCAACATATAAACACATATACACCGAAAAGAACAAAGGGCATTTTTCTTAAACCTTAAATTCAAAATTTGTACTACAAATTCATAGATGTACACTGACATTCATCAACACGCACACAAACAAAATGTAAAAAAATACAATGAATAACTTGAAGCACACGTACCGACAGATATATACACACATGCAAGCAAACCTACTAGCACAACCACACATAAATATGTTCAACCACACAAAGGAATACAAGGAAGGCTTGAAAGTGGCGATCATCGGGCAGAGTCAGTTTGCTGTCGAAGTGTACAAGCTGCTGAGGAAGAATGGACACCGAGTCGTCGGGATATTCACCATTCCGGATGTTAAAGGGAAGCAAGATCCGCTTGGTCAGTGTCTGTGTGTGTGTCTGTCTGTCTGTCTGTGTGAGTGTGTGTCTGTGTGTATGTCTGTGTGTGTGAGTTAGTGTGCGGATGTTAAAGGGAAGCAAGATCCATTTGGTCAGTGTCTGTGTGTCTGTGTGTGTATCTGTCTGTGTGTGTATTTGTGTGTGTGTCTGTGTGTGTGGTCGTCATCTTCACATTGTCATTATCGTCATCTTCTTCATCATATCAGCTCAGATCGGCCAGACGGATGGAGTGTCGGTGTTTAAGTTTGCCAGGTGGAGGAACAAGGGAGTGGTGCTACCTGAGGTCATGGAGACCTACAAGTTGGAAATTTCATTTTTATTTCTTTTTTGAAATTTATTTAACATAAAAGTTTATTTTATAGTAATTGATGTCCTCTTTCAAGTATAAAGAACTTTCTAATTTTACATAAGACGTTACGGTAGTTTTTTTTTCATTTCTCTAATTTAGCTAAAAGTTGTAATTGTCATTATTATATTTTTCTTGTGCTTGTCTGCTCGAAACAAATTTTTGCCCCATTTTTGTGGTGGATATTATTTAGAATCATCAATTTCATGGATTTCTATTTGTCTTTTTATCGTTTGTACGTTAAATTTCATTTCATCATCTTTTGATCATCATCACATCATTTCATCACCATCACATCATTTCATCACCATTTGACCACCATCGCATTAGATCCTTGGATGCTGACTTGAACGTCTTGCCCTACTGCAGTCAGTTCATTCCAATGGAAGTGATCACCCATCCGAAGCACCAATCCATCATCTACCATCCGTCCATTCTTCCAAGGCATAGAGGAGCTTCTGCTATCAATTGGTTATTGTGACGATGTGGCAATGATGGTGTGATAGTGTTGTGGCGATATGATACAAGATGAGACGTGATATAATGATATGATACTTGGTGATGATGACGCCGTGATGAAAAGTTTTTATGAATTATTCTTATCATTTGACCACCATCATCTTCATCATGATCCTAACTCCTTAATATTTTCTTTCATTTCATGATAAAACATCATTTTATTTACTATCACAACATTGATTGATGATGGTGATGTTGTTGTTGATGATAACAAAAATGATGCTGATGGCTAAGACGACGACGATGATGAAGACGATGACAACGATGATATATACCCAACCCAAGGACCCTAATACACGGAGACAAAAAGGCAGGTCTGACGGTATTTTGGGCAGACGACGGCCTAGACACTGGCCCCATACTCTTGCAGAAATCTTGCACTGTTGAACAAAACGACAGCGTCGACTCGCTCTACAACAGATTTTTATATCCAGAAGGCGTAAAAGCTGTTGTGGGTACATTGTGGTTGTTTTTAAATTGAAAGTGATAATTATTTAACATTATTTATGACGGTAATTTGCTTTATTTATGATCATAATTTGCTTTATTTATGATCATAATTTGCTTTATTTATAATTTGTTTTATTTATGATGATGATAATCATCGTCATCGTCATCGTTACCATCATCATCACCATCATCGTCATCATCACCATGGTGACCAGGGTGAGGCAGTTGAGCTGATAGCTTTAGGTCAGGCGCCAAGCATCAAGCAGACGGAAGATGGCGCAACCTACGAACCAATCTTAAAGAAGGAGATGGCCAAGGTTCATTCGTTCATTCATTCATTTATTCATCTACCCATTTATTCATTCACTGATTCATTCATTCATTTTTTCGTTCATTCATTCACTCATTCATTTATTCATTCATTCATTCTTTTTTCCATTTTAATCCGCCCTTGATACATTCAGTTGTTCGTTTATTCCTTTTCTCAATCATTTGTTCATTCGATGTTTGTGTCTTGTTCGTTCATTTGTTTATTCGTTCATGAGACAACTTTAACGTGAATGGCTAGATTTAGTTGTGAATGAATGAATGAATGAATGAATGAATGAATGAATGAATGAATAAATGAATGAATGATTGAATTGAGGATTGTTTGGATGAATAAGTATAAAAAACGTTTAACGGAATGAATGAACGAACGGATATACGAACAATCAAACAAACAAACGAACGAACGAACAAACCAGTGAATAAACAAATGAATAAATAAATGAACGAGTGAATGCAAAAATATTATCCAACAATTCAATCGACTCAAGTTGGATTTGAACCTGGCAGCGGAGAGCATGCACGATTTCATCAGGGGGTGTGACACTGTTCCTGGAGCGTGGATGAATATTAATGAGCAGGTGGGAGGAGCCTATTTCTTTCATTTTCCATAATTATGATAATCATTACTATTCAAAATAATTAACTTCTTCTTAAATTAATTCCAACAACAAACACACACACACATACACCCGCGTGCCCACTCACGCACAAACCCACACACACACACACACACACACATAGCACGTAACTTCAACATGTAACTCTATTTATATATCCAATCCATCCATCCCAACAGCACACATGTTGTATGTGATAGGAGGGGGTCACTTAACATTCGTACCCGGTTACTGCAACAACAGCGCCAGCCACCTTAACCATTAGGCTATCGCACTGTCCATATTTTCGCCCAACGACCTCGACATAATCTTTCGTGTATATAGTAATTGAAATGAAAACTAAAAAGGCCTTATTGTTTTCCACCAAAAAATCAATCCACAATCCATTTCAAATATGACATAAAAAAATCCAGAAAATCTCTTTGTTCGGATCGAAACTTTGGACGAAAAAAATTCCCACACGCGGTCGCCAGTTCGATATTGATGGTGCCTCTGACGGGAGGAAGGCCATCGTCACCAGTGAGGGCATGGTCATTCCCGATGCTTTCGGGAAAGCGGTTATTAGGGATTTGGGATGATTCACGGATTAGGGATTAAATAGGATTTAGGGATTGGGTTAACGTTTGGATTAAAGTTTAGGATAAATAATTTATTAGAGACTGGAGATTGTTGATTGTGAATGATTTTGGGATTGCTAATTTAGGATTAGAAATCCGTGATGTTTCTAAATCATAGTTGTTGATGGTTAGAAATTACGGGTTGATGGCGGGAGTTTGGAACGTGATGATGATTAGTGAATGGGGATTGTTTTTTTACATTTCCAGGTCATTGTCTCTAGACTTCAACTTGAGAGTGGGAAAATGATCCAGGCCAACAAATTTGGTGAGGTTGATGAAGTCGTCGCTATAGAAATGACCTCAGACGAAGAGGTCATAGTTCAAAATGTCAAGGTCGGATATTTCCCACATTAACTTCTTTTCGCGGTTATTTTATGTATGAATAACTCAGTTAGTATGAATGACTGAACTTTAAAAAATCCTCGATTTTTGTTGTTATCTTTGCATGGTCGGCTTTAATTATATGCGTTGACAAGTTAGCTCAGATGGTAGGAGAGCTACATCTTGAGTTTTTCTTGCTTTAGTTGCTACCCTGGTTCAGACACTGTTTGGTGGTCGAAACTCAATAGATCGATCTTCTTATTATTATTTTTATTATTATCATTATTATTACTGTGATAATATGGAACACGATTTGAACATAATTTAATGCTGACTCTATTTCTCTTTGTGCCCATTTAAAATGTATGGCGAGCATTGTAGGTTATCTATATAATTAACATTATTAGTTTTATTACTTTAACTCTATAATTACAATGTATGTTTAAAAATGATAATAAAAGAATGTTTTCATTATTAATTGTTTGTATTTGTTATAATTTTGAATAAGGGTGTGTGGAGAAGAATTCTGAGTCTTGGTGATGTTGACAGTGAAACGGATTTTTTCAAATCTGGCGGTGGATCCATGCAAGTTGTTAGGTGGCTGTTGTTGATGGTGGTGGTGGAATTCATTGTAATCTCTAATAATTCATGATAATCTTCAATAATTCGTTGTAATTCACGTGAATGCATGCACTTAGATTGGTTGAAGAAATAAAAAGTCAACTAACGAATGTCGACCTGCAGAATGCAGACGTGTACATGAACAGCACTTTCGACGAATTCATCAAGTGAATTAGTGAATTTTGGATGAATCGATGGATGATTTGATTGCGGCTGGATGAATGCATGGATGAATTGATGAATGAATTGATAGATGGTTGGATGGATTAATTAGTTAATAAATTTATGGATAAATGGATAGATGAATTGATGAATTAATTAATGGATAGATAGATAGATTAGTTAATGAACGAAAAGATGGATGAATGGATCGATGGATGGATGGATCGATGGATGGATGGATCGATGTATATAAAATCAATGATGAATACATTAAGAATGGATTGGCGCGCTATTTGTAGATTAATAGATGGATAGATTAATTGAATGAGTAAGTGAATTAATAAGTGAATAAAAAATAAATGAATTAACGAATTAATTATTGATTGAATGAGTAAGGTATATTTTTTTTTATAAATAAACAAATTTCGTTGACAAAAGAAATGTTAATTTGATAGGAGAATGAATGAATGAATGAATGAATGAATGAATGAATGAATAAATGAATGAATTGGTTACAGGTTAGTTGTCATGAAAAATCGAGGCATCTCATTGGAGAAAGAATTTGTTTACGATTCGGTGAGCTGATTTGAGTCATCATCACAAAAATCCCTCACTCACTCAGTCACTCACTCAGTCACTCACTCAGTCACTCACTCAGTCACTCACTCAGTCACTCACTCAGTCACTCACTCACTCACTCACTCACTTACACTCACCCACATCATCATCATCATTATTATCGTCCTCACCATCATCACCCCACCCACCAGATCGAGATGATGGTGAACAATCGTGCCATCAGATTCCCCCACCAACTCTTCATCAACAACGAGTTCATCCACTCATCTGACAATTCCACCTTCAACACCATCAATCCTGCTACTGAAGAGGTTAACATTTGCTTAAATGTTGGTTGGTGACTGACAGACTTAAACACACACACACACACACAAACGCGCACCATCTTACACTTTTATGAATGACACGTGGGAATGTCTTCGAATCGGGTTACCTCAAAATGGGGGAATACATCCTCAACCGCTACGCCATTTCACTGATTTTTAATTCATACCAGATTTGATTTGTCTCAGTTTTATTTTGTTAGTATTTTAAATCTTGATATTATTAATTTGTGTCACGACTCACCCTCCATTCTTACGCATATAATGAAACGACAATTGTGAAGAGGACGACGATGTCTTTGCAGTCATCACAATGTTAATGTAGGAGTCAGTGGCGGGTCAAGACAACTTTTTAAATTTTCACGGCGGCGGGCAAAATTTGTGATAATGTGGCAGCTCATTACGATCAATTTTTGGTCTATTTACACACAAAAACGGCCCTTCTTCTGATTTCTATTAAAAAAAAAACTCCTCGCAACAGACCCGCCACTGTATGCCTGTAGTTACTATTAAGCATGACGACTAAGCGAATAAGGTCACAGAAAATAGCATAATTATTAACGTATGGACGTAAGTTCAGTTGTGTCCACTTTGCAATCTCTTGACCTCGTGACCTGATTTTGAATTTTAAATGTAGGTCATTTGCAAAATTGCAAAGGCCACAGTTGATGACGTTGAATACGCCGTTGAAGCTGCTAATGTTAGTCTGGTTGGGTGTTTGTTTGTATGTTTGTTTGTATGTATGTTTGTTTGTTTGTATGTATGTTTGTTTGTATGTTTGTTTGTATGTATGTTTGTTTGTATGTATGTTTGTATGTATGTTTTTTTGTATGTTTGTATGTATGTTTGTATGTACGTATGTTTGTCTGTCTGTATGTTTGTTTGTATGTTTGTTTGTATGTATGTTTGTTTGTATGTATGTTTGTTTGTATGTTTGTTTGTATGTACGTATGTTTGTCTGTATGTATGTTTGTTTGTATGTATGTTTGTTTGTATGTTTGTTTGTTGGTTTGTATGTATGTTTGTTTGTTTGTATGTATGTTTGTTTGTATGTATGTTTGCTTATATGTATATTAGTTTATTTGTATAAATAATGGTCTTTCAAGCATCATTTTATACAAATCTGTCTGCGTGTATTGGCCAGCACAAGTGAATGTTTCGCTACTTCTTCTCAAATGTGTGTGTTCAGTGTGACTGTACGTTTCTTTAAAATTTATTTGAAAATTTTCATCTGGTTCATGTACGTCAGGAAGCATTCGAAGGCGAGTGGGGAAAGATGAATGCCAGGGATAGAGGCAAGCTGATGTACAGGTCGGTCGGTTGGTTGGTTGGTCGGTTGGTTGGATGGATGGTTGATTGGTTGGATGGATGGTTGATCGGTTTGTTGGTTGGTTGGTAGGTTGGTTGGCTGGTTGGTTGGTTGGCTGGTTGGTTGGTTGGCTGGTTGGTTGGTTGGCTGGCTGGTTGGTTGGTCGGTTGGTTGGTTGGTTGGATGGTTGGTTGGTCGGTCGGTTGGTTGGCTGGATGATTAGAGATGGTTGGTTGATTGGCCATTTAATTTTTTGATTATATTTATTATTTGATTATTTATTTGAATAAATGTTTAAAAGGAATGTTTGAAGAATTTTTTGAACAATCAGTTTATCAATTTCGGCTGAAAACAAACAACCAGCTAATCACAACCAACCAACCACAACCAACCAATCACAACCATGCAACCACAACCAACCAATCTCAACCATGCAACCACAACCAATCAGATTGGCGGAACTAATGGACGAGCATAAAGAGGAACTGGCGATACTAGAGAGCCTAGATTCGGGGGCAGTGTACACCCTGGCCCTGAAGACCCACATCGGGATGTCCATCGACTCCTTTCATTACTTCGCTGGATGGTGTGACAAGATACACGTCTGTCTGTTTGTTTGCCTCTTGCGGTCGACTGGTTTGATGGATGGATTGGTTGTTCGATTGAATTGGTTAATTAGCTGATGAATTGGTTCTTTCATTCATTCATTCATTCATTCATTCATTCATTCATTCATTCCATCATTCGTTTATTTATTCATTCATTCCATCATTCATTCATTCATTTATTCGTTCATACATTCATTCGTTCATTCATTC